TGGAAACTACTATATTACAATAGGGCATATATTGGGGTTATTTAGGGATAAAATGGAAACGCTGGCCCGTGATTTCAACAGCTTGGACCGTGCACCGCTGACTGTTCTGCATTGCAACTCTACACTCAACAGCTGCTGTGGTCAGCTTGAAGTGATGTAGTGCAATCAACATGCCCTGTAGTAGTTTCCATTATCCCCATGTAACCCAATATTATACAGGACAACCCCTATAAACCCCAATATAACCCCACATGTTTATACATTGCGACCCAAGCCGGACTCTTCAGGAGGTCTGAGCTGAATTCACTCTTTGCAGCAGCAGACGCTCGAGTCCTGGCAGTTCACCTGGGGCCAGACATAATAGTGATAATACCAAAAAACAACAAATAATAAGAGTAGTAATAATAGTAGAATATGAGACAAGTTGACCGCATTTCATCTCAAAGTCTAATTCACTTCCTTGCCGTTCCCGGTAGCACCGACTCTGACGGCAATCGGCCTTCGGTTGGGCGAAGGTGGCAAGTGCACTGAGAACTCACTGTCCGTTGCGCTTTCAACCTCGCAGACACGAAGGTGATTCAAATCCTAGAGGTGACAAAAATCTCGTGAAAGCACTGCGCGTTTGTGGGTTTGGTCGCATGCGAGGCCTCCCCCCGTGTGCACTAAAGAAACCCCTCTGTCAGCATGGTGACCGCCTGTGCGCCACTGTTTCACACCTGCCAAATCTCTACAGAACTTCTTGCAGCCGCAGACTTTCACGCACTTTTTGCCAGTTGAGGCATATTGGAAGTGGCAAACCTCCGTAAAGCTCTCAAGAAATTCATGACAACATCAGGGCATGGTTTGAGCTTTGGCAGCAATCCCAACAGACTGCTGTGGTGGCATGTGGAAGAGGCATATGAGCTATAGTCTAAACTCCTAGTATCCCCGTTAATGACCCGTATAGTAGTCACCTAAATAGTCCCTTATTTGGCCGCCCTTCAAGGAGTGTAGACTACAGCTCATATGGAGCACGGCTGAGGGAACACAAGGACTGGCCAACCTGCACGTCCACGTGTGTGCCCGGGTTCTCCAGGATCGCAGTCGAAGCACGACTGACGTCCCAGCGGTTAGCCTGGAGCACGTGGTAGCTTCCCTGGATAGGGGGACCCTGAGAAAAAACCCTTAATTATAGCCCATCAAACGTACCCCAATTTCGGGAAACCCCCACATCCAGCAGTAGCTTGTTCAGCTGTGGATGGCTGGTTGGCGATGACCACTGTATGCAGCGACAACTCGGACTTCAAGTAAAAGGGCTGCATCATGTCTCCTGGAAGCTAAGCTAGGGGAAGCCAGACTATTCTGTCTGCCATGTTTCCAATGCGCTGCAGACCACAATAAGTGCAAGCCGCCGCTGCAAGGCGCCTCAAGTGCAACCTTTGATGCTTCGAAGGAGAAGCCCATGGCCAACATCCTTGCACATTCCAGCTAAAAGAGCTAACATGATCTTCTAATCTCCTGGCAGTGCAGTACCAGATAGTACTAGACTGCCATCAGCAGCTACGTACAGTCTTGGCCAGTACGAGGCATGAAGGTCTGTCAGCAGAACCCAAGCCACGACAGGCTCAAAGCACAGCAAAGGATAGAAGGCTTGTAAGCAGAAAGCTGAGAGGGACTCGCTCCACACTCTGCAGAGCTCATGGTGATTAGAAATGTATTGCTGATTTCTGTCTTCTGATGACCTGAGGCTATGGATTCTCATAGGTCTCTATCTTGCACACATTGTTTGGCATTTCAACGGCTACTCGGTTGGTGAAGAGAATATGTGGGCTTAGGGGATTCAGGAGTTCTGGACATTCTGCATCCCTGTGTCATCAGATGTTACCACAAAGTGGGCAAGGGCAGAGTTTATGACCAAAGGACTGGCAGGGCTTCCGGATACAAGGTCACCTCAAGACTCGATCAGCGGTGAGTCGTCACTCTTACTCATCTCCAAAAATGTTCACGAAAGGAAGCTCGCACGTCATGATACTCGGCGACTCAATCCGTGCCGGGAAATGCACGGGTAATAGGATCCGAGTTGCTGCTCCATGGCTTCATCACGGTTTGCCTTATCTCACGAGTTCAGGAGATGCTTGCTCAGGTCGTGCCAGGGTTTTCAATGCAAATTGAGACAAATTGCCACGTGCAATAGCATAGAGGCGACCGCCCTCGAACTCAATCAACCCCAGGAGTACTTCCTGGGCCTTCTTCCACTATCTGAAGTATACAGGGTCACGCAGGCTTGACACAGACAGAACCAAAGACCCGTAGAGTCCGTAGAGTGCTGCCAAGACTCTGTCAACATGCCATTGCCTCAGAGTGCGATCTCACGCGCCGCTCTCGTCAGCGTGCTGACTTTTCCAGAAAGGGCGGGGAGTGCATCCCTCAACTCTTGTATGTGGCCATCTCCAACATTACAAAGCTCTTGGGGACCCCTACCTAAAATTCATCTGCCCTGCTGGCAGGAATGGCCTCATGGCAACCTCCGACAACATCCGCAACTTAGATGATGTGGCTCTTAAACACAGGGCCCCACCTTGGGATGACAGTTTCGAGAACTACCAAAACTGAGTTTGCGTTCATTTGCGCTTACCGACACCTAAGCCATAGTAAAGCCAAGCTGCCAATCGATGTGGGCGAGGGCACCGCCCAGGAGATGGGCGCTGTGGGCATTGCAGCAGTATCTGCGCAGCAGCTAGTAGAGTCCCTAGTCACTAGAGCCTCACACTATCCGGACAAGCTCTGTACTCTATAGTGGATGTAGTCCTATTGTACCCAGTGCTAGCCTCCAAGTTAGAAGGCTTCAGAAGACTTGAGGCCCATTTCGATTGCCATGCCTTGTTTTGGGTGCTCAAGGTCTCTCCTCGATTCTTGGCAGTGGAGCGTCAAGTTACGCAAACAAGGCAGTCGGGGCCAGATCCTCGAAGTTCTTTCGAACACGAGACCCAGCACAAGTCGTAAAAGGACTGTCAAGCCGCTGTGAAGCAGTTCCTGCAAACTACCCCAGCTGTGACTCAATGGCAGCTGCAAGAGATCCCGAAACGTATGTAGGAGCCTGGGCTTCAAAACTTATAACCTCTTAGTCCAAACTCCTGCCACAGCAATCCGGGTGCCAGTGCCTCTCGACTCCGTGAGGTGAGTTCTCTCCGGCTGAGGCTTCTTGCAGCAGCAGCTCTGCACCTGTCTTTCCGCCTAGACTTGTAGGAGCAGAACCCAAGAGTAGCAGGAATATGAAGGAACACAGCCCAGAAGCGCCGCGGAAATTGCACATACGTGAAGCTCAGAAGGTCCGTGCATAGAGCAGAATGCAAGTATCCTACCTGAGACACATGTTGTGCAGTGTCAATGGCTATGTGCCAGGATGCTGTTCAAAAGCATGACATCAACTCCACGGCAAGTCAACCGTCGCGGCCTTCCTGCAGACTCCCAGGCAACACCTCATGGCTGCGGCTTTCCCACGCCCAAGCAATCAGCCTAAACTTGCTGGTAGGTTGTAGGGTTTGGGTTTTAAGGTTTAGGGTGTCGAATAAACCCACTTGCAAGGTTGCTCTTGCCACTGCAACCCTCGCTTCAAATGCGTGACAGCCTACAACACTCCTTCCAGCTGTCGCAACAAGATTTCGCCCTCGAACCTGGCCTTGAGCACATGTGAAAGTTATTCTTTCGAATATTAACGTGATTGCTATTGCTGCTCTTGCTATTATGGTTATCAGCCTTGATATTGTTCTCCTTCTTATTCTTTTCAACCAACACTCACGGCGAAATCCTGAGCCCTAAACCCTGAACCCTGAACCATGCAGGCTGCAGGATGATGACGAAAGCCACGGCTCCCAGAATCCTCAGCACTCGGCAGGCTTGTTCTAGATGATGCCCTCAGCTTAAAACAACTAGACTATACTACTACTACTACTACTACTACTAATAATAATATTAATAATAATAGCCGCCCCCCCTCCCTGCGCAATACCTTTTACTTAAATCTAAATATAAATTTGCCGAGGAGGCGGCCAGTAGCAGTAGTAGTAGTGGAAATGCCAGGAATG